GTTTCACTCTCTCCATCGCAGGGAGCAGTATTAATTAATTACAACAATAAACACAAAAAGTTTTAGGAGTTGTATTGATTCTTAGGAAAAAATACATTAATTTCTCTAGTGATCTAGAAGAAAATAAATTAGTAACACCCCTTTTTCTTCTGGGATGGACTTTTCTAGCCGCAAATGTTAAAAGTAAGGGTCCTTCGACCTGTCTTGTTAACGCAGAAGACTGATACAGACGGACAACAAGTGCAGACAGCTCAGACTGCAGGAGGGAGAAGCTACAGTACAGAGCCAGAGGGCACAGCTCTGCTGTCAAGGCACAGATATCATTCAGTTCGCTCATCGTGGACAACAGATCCCTTCATTTTAAGAACAATACTGTACACTATATAAGTAAAAACCCCGCAAAGCAGACAGGAGAGGAGGGAGAATGGAGGGTGGGAGAGAAAATCAAGTGATAGAGGATAGAGCCTGGCTGCTTCTCCCCTCCCTGCCCCCTGGCGCGTGCTTCCAGCTGTCACAGCAGATGGTGTGGGCGGGGCCTGACCTTTTTTGCGGCCCCGCCCCTTCTGCTCATTCAAAGTTTCACAAAGGCCGAGAGCGAGCAGCCCCCAGCTGACACCTGGGAGGGAGGGAGTGGGAGTGTGCCAGTGACAGACCCCAAGAAAGACAGCGAGAGGGAGGCGTTGGTGAGTGTGTGCTGACAGGAGAGACGTAAGTGCTTCTGCGCGTGCTCGCTTGTTTCAGTCAATCATTGTGTATACTGTATTTGTGCCTTTACATGAATACACCTGAGTGTCCCTGTGTCTCCCTGTTCTGCATACTGTAAGTCTCCATGTGTGTTTTCAGTGGGGGGCTTATATTTCACAGTTGTGCACAGACATGTCGCTCACTGTAGAATCCGCCTCATCAAGCCAGACCTTGTCCCTGTGTATTCAGAGAGTACACATTTGAGAGGTAATTCCAATTTGAACCAGAAGTGTGAATGATCCACATCACTGAATTAATTCAGCACTTGCTTTGGTTCAACATGAGCAGTCAAAAATAAGTAAAGCATAATTACTGAAGAAAATTAACAATCAGAAAGGATTTTAATAGGAGACTGAATTTTAAAAAAGGTGAAAGGTGCAAACCTAGCAGAAGACAATGTAGTTATGAAAAAGATGTAAGTTTGTGCATTTTCACTTAGGTTGGAGGCCTTAACTGAGCTTCTTTTGGAAATCAAATAAGTGTGGCAAAATGTTTTCAGGGGAGCAAAATCTGAAAGTCATTCTGTTAGTGTTTCTCGATTATATCATTATTAGGTAGTTGTTCTTGGAATTGCAACATCCTACTGCTCAAGACCAAGATTATTTTAAAATTCAACAACATTTTAATATGAAAAGCCATGTCGTGAAATACGGGCCAAAGATCGCTCAGCCTGTCCCTTCTTTGTATTCAGACACACGCTGCTCTCTGGGCATGTGCATGTGTTGTCATCCTTGCAGATGATCCCGGCATTTCCCCTCACCCTCCTGCCTGTGATCAGTCCCCAGAGGTCACGACCCCTGTAATCACCCCAGATGGCCTGACAAACGCGCTCCGACAGGGGAGCACACAGACAAAGACGGAGAAAGTCTGGGCCTGCAGATTAGCCTGGATGCATAGCAGCAGCACAAGCCCTTCTGGTCCACCCTCCAGCATCAGCCTGACAGCTGGGAAGGGGAGTCATTCTGCACTGTCAATACCAGCTGCACCTTGAACTCAAAACTGAACTCAAACCTGCTGGGCTATGGATTTGAATCCCAGGCGAGACTCTGCTGTTGGACCTTGAACAAGGTGGGACTCAGATTGCTTTAGCAAAGTGCCTAACTGTATAAATGGGGGCAAATGTATGCCACTCTGGATAAAAGAGTCAAATGAATGAATAATAATAACGTCATTCAATGATCCATTCTGGGTTGCATCAAAGGGTGTACATGTCCCCTTCACGGCTGAGAAGGCATCGCCATTTGATGCCACGAACACCAGGGAATACTGTCTACTAATGTATGCATCGGGAACACCTTCTCCTCATGTTTGAAAGTGCTGTAGGCACTGCACAGCAATTAAATAAGCCCTTCAGACTTGTGAATAGTTCTGTCATTAGATGCTTTCAAGCTTTCTTGCATCTTGCTCATCCAGTCTTTAGTTCTCTATTTCAGAAGGTTAATGCCACAATGCACTCTTTGTGTCTCTTCTCCAGAATCCCCACTCATGCCTGAGATCACTCCTGTGATCTTTTCCCTCACTTCATTTTCTCTCTCTCTGAGCTCTGGTATGCCGGTGTTTCCTGGGCAGCTGGAAGCGGAAGTGTGTTTTCCAGGAGTGACGCGCTCATAAACGGATTTATGGATTAAGGTTTAGAAAACAAATCAATTTAAAGAGCTGCGGCAGGACACATACAGTAGAAGCTGCTCTATTTATAACCATGGGTGCAGACTGGGAACTGAACTTGGCTCTTGGCTCTGCGACTCGTATTGCAATTAGGCACATATCCGAGCACAGAAATCCTGCATTTTCTAGTGGCACGTGGACTTTGTCCTGAGGGAGGGTTTGTACAGTACTGAGTGTCCACAAGGTCTTCTTAACCTTATTTTTTCCCCATCCAGTGCTGTATTTACTCACATCTGAAGCATAATGAACAGCGACTGTAGTCCATCATGAAATGTTTTTTTTATCATAATATGACAGTAAATCTAGAGATGTATTGAGCAGGGATCCCCAAACCCAGACCTGGGTGCTTACAAACTCCATTATTTTTTTCCAGCCAAGCTCTCAGTTACACAACTGGACCCCAAATGACCTTATATTAAGATTGTGCTGAACTCTTTAGTTCTTAAACATACTGGAGACTCTCTTTCAATTATTATGGTTTATAAGCAGCATAACATCTCTGGCTATTGAGTTAAGATACTCATTAGTTCTTTTAAATGCTAGGCTTTATTTAATTAAAGATCTTGGCTGGGAGGTTGATCAGCAGGTATGTGGGTCTCCAGCAGTAAGACTGGAAGATGACTGAGAGCAAACACTATAAACTACCTCCCTTTGGATACAGAAATTATAGAAAGGTGCATTTTTGCAGAATGTCTTCGCATCCCCTTTTGTAAAATTCTTTGAGCATGTTTACACAACAAACACACAGGGTGCCAGCATTCTGTGGATACCTTATGAACAACTGCAGGAGCTCTCTCCTATTAGTCTCTTTCTGCTCGAAAGCATCAAGCTTTGTCAATCTCGAAAAAGAAAGACCACTCATCCCTTGACCAGAGAGCACTTAAGTGCCGTCTGGTCTGTTCAAGCTCCTAGTGATGGGGAAATGCCTGCTGTTTTTGAGTATAAGTGGATAAATTCCAGGTAAACCTCCTATCTTTAAAAGTAAAGCAAAAGCTTAGTGACATTTGCAGATCACATTGAGTGAAGGTAATGGATATATTAATAACATGCAACATTTTTGCCTTTTACAAACGTTTACTACAGCACAGCTACACAGTAACTTTGCACTTTTACCTTTGTTGCCACACACTTGCCTTTTTTTTATTCTTTCCTAAAATTCACTGTGTTTTTACCATGGACAGACTGTGCTTTACTATACCACACAATGGAAGTACTATACAAACGCAATATAGTTGGCCAGTTGCCCCCTCAAGTTTCATTTCAGATAAATTTAGCTTCTGAGAAATGGTTTGCTACTTTGGTCCAGACACCAGGCACTCTTTGTATAGTTACCTTTCATCTTCTATAGAGCTCTTACCTTTCAGTAACACTGACCCTTTCTCCTGAATATCAGGATTTACAACAGTCCCAAACAAATACAATACAGTAAAACCTCAGTATTCTCAGGGGTTAAGTACATTAAAGTCTCTGTGAATGTCAAATTTGGGGGACTTAGTAGGATATAGGTGGTGAAACAAGCATGATTTCAAAAATAGTGTTAATAGTTATTAGTAGAAAGCATTTTTTTAATGAAAATGAATACTGCAAACTTATCAAAGCATTGTTTTTCCCCTGTAATTCAAGTATTTGCATGTGCAAACAATTACATTAAATCACTGTTATGATATTATAGCTTACCTTGTATTTGTTTGTTTTTTCAATCTTAGGAGAGCACATTTTCTTTACTGTTTAAATCTTGTGTTAGTTGCTCTTACAAATTCAATACAGTAATAACAAAATAAACTGAACATACTCTCTCCCTTCCCACTCAACCAACTCACTCTCCTTCAATTTGTCAGATTCTCTTTCTTCTAGTTTCTTTTGTTTTTCTTTTCCCTAAGACATACAGTAGAAGAACTTAGACTGTGATAAGTTAGGGGACCATGGAGGTTTTTTTGTTATTAAATATTTATATTATTTCAAGGCACAGCACTCACATTGCTTTGCTCTGATAATGGGCCTTCACACAACATACATGTCACGCTTTCCTGACAGAAATGAATAACTAAAGCATAACCGATGGAAGACCAGCACTGCTACAGAAACATGTTACCTCTTTGTTAACCAAGCTACATGTAGAGTCAGATGCAGGTCAAGTGAAGTAGATTTGTGAGATGAAGATGCAGAAGTGGGCACCCTTGTTTATGGGCCTACTGCACCGCTCATGAATATGTGAATTTGGTTTAAGAATGTGAAAAAGTAGTCACTAAAAACTTTTTGCATGCACAGGAGAAACCACAAATATTGATAGTTTACTATACTGTATATGGTCCTGGATACTTAAATGTTGAGCGAACAGCATGATTGGATATACCTCCTCACCAACCATCACATACAGTATCAATCTCCAGGCTCCAAGAGAACAACAGTGACCCAGCCAAAATTCAAACCCATATGCATCCAATTTGGAGTCCAGAGCCCCTAATCACTATTATATACTGCTTCTCCAGCAAACAGAGTGGTACGTTATGAACAGAACAGAAGAGGATCATTTTTAGTTTGGTCAATGTAAGCGTGATGTCTTAGTGGTCAGTCGTGTCTGGGTGTCTCACCGAATGAAATGGTCAGCCAACGTGCCCAGCAGCTCTCCAACACGGTCTTCGTTAGGGCTGAGCTCACCCCTCTGGAGACAGAATAGCAGGTCATCCCGAGCGAGGGTGTGCAGAACCACCAGCTGGTCATTCCCACAGGTCACACTCACTCCTGTCACCTGTATGGACACAGGAAGAGTTAGGCAAACCCAGATGGCCTCATGTCTGCAATTCCAACACACACAACATTGCAGACCGAGGAGGAGTGAGCATGTATTAGGCAGCCTCAGACTGTCTATAATCTATAGTGTTAATTTATATGTTAATTCTCAACATTTAATAACGTAGCACAGCTTTGGCAGTTAAAATCGTAAACTTTCTGGGCAATAAAATACCTTTTATTTCATTTGGAAGCTCAGAAAAGAATAAAAGACACCAAGTATGTTCTACAGTACATTAAATGGCAAGAGACGTGATCAAGCATTTGTCTTCAGTACAAACAACTATATAAATATAAAGGAAAACTACATATGAGGAATATGGAAAATAAAAAATAAGAAAAATTGAAAAAAAAACAGAAGAAGCAGGAACTGTTCAGAAAAACAGGGCATAGCTTATCCTATGGTTGCTCTGAGGCATCAATATACAGTAGCTTTCAGATGAGAAAGTCGGAGCTCTGACTCTAGGATGCTGGCTGCAGTATCACATTATGAAGACATGCTTCCTGTGCTGTTTCAGAATGCCCTAAGAGCTTGGTAATCTCATTTCCAAGAGCAGAGCATGAAATGAACATTGCAAGTCTTAGCTTCATGATAAACTCAGAATATCCTTCCCTAAGAATTATTCTGTTTTTACATTTCAGATAATGTAGGTCAAACTTGTTTCCTCACTTAAAAAAAGCCCACTGGTCTGCAGATCAGATCTGAAGAACACTGTACTTAGCCTTACCCTAATCTTAACAATGACCATGAGTGTAATCTCAATCTAAAGGCTTTTCCCTAGCAATAAACCTAACAGTAACCCAGACACTGGACCTACACTGAATGCTCACCTTGCTTGTTACCCTTGTTACAATGTAATGTTAAAATTAAACCTCTAACCTTGCCCTTAACTCTAAGGTTAGCCTGCAGTTGGTCCAGACAGGCTGTGAGAGCAACAAATGTGTGGTTGATGTGAACCCTTCTTTTTATCCACTAAAATCTCTGCAGGACTCTACACACTACACTATCCCCAATCACCAAACATGTTCTTTTGGATAGGTGTTCAGTGGACATGTAGACAGCCAGAAGTCTGTCTTAGCCTGTGTCTGTACTCACGCTGTCCAGTGGCAGCTTCTTCAACATTTTGAATTGCTTGCGTGGCTCCAGCTTGTAGAGATGGGTGTCAGTGATCAGGAGTGCACGGTCTGTGCTCTTGTTGAACCTGTTCATCTGGGGAAAGCAGAGGGAGGGAGAACATGAGCGAAGAGACTGTGAGACAGACTGAGGGGGGGACACAGATAGAACAGAAAGGGAGAAAGAGGGAGAGACAGGGATAGAGAGAGAGGATATAGGAGTATAATAAGGATAGGCAGATCAAAAGAGTAGGAAACTGAGAGAGAGAGAAAATACAATGAAATAGTTTGTCTACATGTATGATTGCATTAGCTTGTATGTTTCTATGTATTGATATGATATGAGGATGTGAGTGCCTGCATGTTTTCCTATCTATTTGCAAGGAAACATAAAATGAGCAAGAAGCACTTGGGCATGGCTCTATACAGATTAGGTATGATACCATTTGAATGAATATCCGGACAATACATTTTGTACAACACAAGGGCTGTGTAAGATTACCTTTCGGACAAAGCTAGAGAACAACACTGTGTTGTATTGGTCTTTATTCTTCAGCTCCTTCGACACCTTGGCAAAGCTGGAGCTGGTCTGAGGAGAGTCTCGCACCTGAAACACATAATCAGTATCTCATATAAACCATGTCTGCCACAATCATCTCCTCAGAACCCCAGTATCTTCTGTGGGGTTCTTCCAAACAGAATGACTTCACTGAAACCTCATATGAATCTCTAATTTACTAAATTTGAACCTGTGGACTGTTCACCACCCATAGAAAATTGCCGATCATGTTGAATTTTAGAGAGAAAATAACATTTGCAGTTGCAAGGAACATCCAGATTGATGGCCCTAAAAACACATACACATTGTCCCAGCCTTGACTGTCACTTATGTAAGGGTCTTGCAGCTCCAGGGCATATTTAGATGATGATATTGCTGAGCAGTTTTGAACTTAATTAGATGCAGGAGCTGCATAGGTAGGATTTAAAACAGAAGACAGTGGGACTGAAACAGAGGCGTCCCTTTGTCAGAAAGAATGGCCCTGGGGATCTCAGACTCTTGTAACTGTACTGTTGGAGCACAAAAGCAATCCTATAGCTCTGGCCAATTACAAAGCACTTCAAGATCTAACCTAGGCTTAACTACTGAATTGGTTAATTGGGTCATTACTCTGCTTGTCAGTGTGATGGGCTGGAAATGCTGCGGGGTGGTGAAGAAGTGGGTGAAGGTGGTTTGTTTTGGCAGAACTCTACTGCCACCCTTATGCCAAGCTCGAGGAGAGCAGCCTATACAGTATGTCCTGTCTCTAGAACTGTTACCCAGGTTGCAGAAAGACCCAGCTCACACCTAGAACTCATATCCAAACATCAATGTATTCTTTCTTTCCTCTCAGATATCGAGGACCACTACTACCCTGGCCCCTCCATTATTTATTGTAACTAAGGTCATTTTAGTCCTCTATCAGACCAGTTACATCTTTATTATAAGGGATCAATATAAATGTCTCAACCATGTGATTGAATAGATAAAAATCATGGCCACTAAAAGAACTCATTCAGTTCATCAGTATTGTTCTTTATGTCTGTTAAATTAAGCAAACTGAGCCCTGAGCAAACACTCATTTATAGAGTGCTGCTTTATTTTAACAAGAAACCTAGAAGTTATACACATGAATCCTGACTCTGAGCAGCAAAGACATAGACACAGCAGATACAAACAGAGCAGCACCCGGTAACTTGGCATTGTGCATTTTGCAGGGTCTAATGAATACTCTCATGCATATACAGTACTTGCTCAAGGCAAGTATATATGTTGTGAAAGTAAAAGTATTTTGGCTGATGTTGCTGTTTTGAGGGTGTAAGTTTTAATGCCGCAGACTCTTAATGTTTTAAAAAGTGCTTCCCTACTATCCTTGCTCCAGGAAGACAAGCACTGCATCCCTTCCCACCCTCACAAAGTCTCCCCACTCGCCTTCTTGCACTCACAGAGAACAAGTAGTCTCTTTCCCAGGTCCTCCCACAGCCCCAGGCAGGTCGCTCCCCCTGGAGGACAGTCATCGCTGCCACCTTGGCCCGCACTTCTGGCATGTGGGAGGGAGGTATGTTCTTGATGATCTGCCGTGCCCGCCACCTGACCACACAGAGGACACAGAGGAACGAGAGAAAGCATTAGAAAGAGAGTAACGAAGGAAGGATAAAGTCAAAGGGAAAGGCAAAGAGAGAGAGAAAGAGTCCAGAAACATTTTCTTGGTGCAGCAGATTTCAGTTCTTGCAATGACAGACACAACTATATAGCTATGTATACACTCATAGAAACATACAATCTTGCAAAGTTATATCAATATACAGTGCCAAACACCTTGGTCTACACAAGGACAAACACTGATACCTGAACAGGCTTTCTAAGAACAGTCATGTGTGCATGGACACTAGACAAAGCCTGACATGCACAGAGACACCAGCCATCTCGAACCTTCTGAAGAGCAGCTGTGTGTTCTGGTGGAACTTGCTGAGCACGGCAGGGGGCTCAGGCCACTCCACACTCTTCCCATAGTCAGGCATGTTGCGCACGTTGGCGAAGCGTCGCTCCACCTCGTGGAAGTGCGCTTTCACCTTGTGCCGCTTGTAGGCGCCCATGATGGTGTAGATTGCGCGCATCCGCCGACAACGCATGCGCGCCAACGCTCCCCGCCAGACCTGAGTAATAAAGTACAGCTGGTCACTGACAAATAGTCATCCTGATTATCTTGCTCTCTGTTTGGTCCTCCCACCACAGCTGGGGAAAATGGCACACCTGTGCATACTGTCAGTGTCCAACATGATAGCAGAGAATTTATTAATGAGATTTTATGAATGTTCTACAAGATGCCTGTTAATGTTCCAATAAACTGTTGACTGTTGCAAAAGCAAGGGTATGGAGCCCTTATCCATTTTGTCACTGCAGTCAGAACCAAACTTCATGTGTGTCCATAAAAACCCCACTCCAGGGTCATTACAGTCACTATATAATTAGTTCAATTAATCCTCTGGGCATGTTTACAGAGGCTTTCTTGTAGCCACCTTACTCGACCCTCAAGCGCAGGAGTTGGCATAGAAAAAAAATAATTTCATAACTCTATAATGCAATTATTTGAATTAGAAAAAGAACAGGGAGTTACTGGTGCGCTTTATGAAAAAAACTCTTTCGTCAACCAAGAAATTCCTCTAATCGATTGGAGTTAATGAAGCCAGTGTGAAGCTGATACAGTATAAAACCAGACAGTTTCCTTTCTGCAACTTCAAAGGGAAGGAGACAGCAATGAGCTACAGCCTCAAGGAAACAATCCCGTCATTAACAGACTCCTTGACAGGACCAAGAGCAAAATGCCCAGCACTTAATTACACCATTACCTCACTGGCTCATGGAGTCATGGCAATTTGCAACTCATTTCACAGGTCATTACTGGGGGTCGCTCACTGCTCTGAAGAGCATGAGCAACTTTTAAAAGGGAAAACAAAGGAAAAAAAGAGCAGGAACAAAAGCAAAAGCTGGAAAAAAGAAAAGGAAAAGAGCAGGGCTTTTTCAGGCATGTGCTGGGAATGTCAGTCCATTGTCAGTGAGTTACTTTAGCCATTAGCCTGTTTTATCTTACAGATATTGAACTTCACTTCTACCAGGCCCGAAAGCCTATTTATTGACTGTTGTCTTTCAAACAGAATAGATTTACGCAAATGTTTAGCACAGACTAGTGGTTAGTGCCCAAGGACTGGGAAAGAGAGAGATGGAGGCAGTGTTGACTAGTTAAACACTAGTCTCAAAGCCTGGGAAGGTCAGAAGGAAAAGATGAGAGACAAGGGAAGTGGGGGGGGGGGGGTGGCTGTCTTGTCATGTGACCTGGACATGTGAACACACCTACCTTCTGAAGGAAGAGGACGAGGATGGGAATGAGGGCAGCTCTCTCCTGCTCTAGTGTAAAGAGGGTGCGGGGCGTGCGCACAAACACCTTTGACAGCCCATATGCCACATCACCCTGGAAATTGTGTTGCGTTATGATAGCTTCCACTGCCTCACGGTCTGTCTCCATCAGGTGATTGGGCCAGGTGTACTCACAAGTCATTTTGTACCTGAGATCAAGACAGAGACTGAGTGATACACATGCTGTAGATAGGTGTTGGGTGTACTCATCTTCTCACTCGTTGTCTTATTTCCCTGAGTCACACAATTATTTTTCCATTTAAACTCATTCCAGAAGAACATGAGGTCCTCTGTCTCTAACATTGGGAAATCAGCCCTATTATTCTTCCTTCTCAATCTAATAAACCTACTTATTTAGACATTTTCAAAAACTACAGACACTATGACCGCACACAGAAGAAAATGAGAAAGTGTAGGAAGACTCCTGCAACCAGCCCACTTTAGAGTCCCTAATTTTTTACTACGTCCCAAGATACGCTGTCCCAAATGTTCAGCACTGATCAAAGGAGAGGTGCATACTTTCCTGAAAGCACCACAGGAGTCCACTGAGTTCTAGATGACTAATCCCACCATACCCTCTGCAGTGTTCAGCCAATTGTGCACTGCTTCATGGGATATTCCAGTCACAGTCGGCGAGTGACATGACCCAGGTTCAGACTCACAATCATAGAGCTCAACTAATTCTCAGAAGACTGCTATTACTATTTGAGGCACCAGGAAGCCCCATAAAATCTATACTGTGACTATATAACTCCTTCTACTTATCTTTAGAGCAGAATAGGATGCATTGAGGAAGCACAGAGAAACTAACCTATATGAGAATCCAGAAGACACGGATACACTGAAAAATATTTTTGACTGATAGATTGACAACTTTAATTCCATTCAAGCGCTCATGCACTCAGTCAAGAAGGCAGCATGTGACCAATCTAAGAGGTTACTAATCAAATCTTTTCATTGCACTTAAAAAAATCACATCACTGTGAATTAAGTAAAGTGCAATGTTTTCAAGGTCTCGTCAGAAATACATTTTGGTTTGAAATGCACGAGACAGCTGTAAAATGCTTTTATGCTACTTGAGTGCAGGCTTGTGTGTTTCAATTAAATTATTTAATAACATATAAATATGACTTTGAAAAGACAGTCTTGGGTGAAGAATTATACTTAGTTTCCTAAATACCATTATATTTAAATCAGATTAAAACTAATAATCAGATTATGGACTTGAACTTGATAATACAAGTGCACCCATCTATCCAGTAAGAAGCAATGTGGGTTCCTGAAACATCTATTTGAATCCTTGAACCCACACACCTTGTACAACTTTATTGCAGTATACCCACATGAGAAGTCAGCATGTTAGAGTCTCAACTTAAACTGTCCATGGCCTCTGCAAAACTAATCTTATTTCTCAAATAAGATGAACTCATATCACTTTATAACACTAAGAACCATAACTAAACTGCCCATAAATTTTGGTTGTATGGCTCAAATAAACCTTTATTTCCTTTAACAGTTGAAAGTTGCTGACTCTCTTTTGAAATAATTTCAAGATGCAACTGAAGGTGAACTCAGTGGGAGTGAGATTAATTAAGTTTGTAATTAAGTTTGGTTTGTACTGTGCACATTGCTGAAAAATCTATTAAGAGAGTTCAAAAAGACCTTACTGCGCACATGAGAAAGGTTGGTCAAGTCAAATGCCCACTGCAAGATCTAATCTTTTGACAAACCTGAAAATCTCTCTGATATGCCAGCCAACTAATCAAGATACACCTAAGAAGTGATGTAAATGACCAGCATGAAGTGCCCAAGTGAATGCTTTGGAAGTCTAATATCTTTATAAGAGCTAAGGCACCAAATGTGATCTGCTGAAGAGCTGAAAGCCCTGTTTCTTGGTGTAAACTGCTCTTTGTAATGCTGCAGTCTTAGCTCAAACTGCACCTTGGGACATCAGAGAGACTCACCTTTGCAGGAAGCGGGAATAGGGCTGTCGATAGGCAAACCCTGCGCGGCGCACCCTGACATTTTCCAGGAGACCCAGGTACGCCACCTGGTGGCGACATCGAGCCTCATCAAATGCCAGTGGTGACTTCACCTCATTGGGCTTGATACAGCGTACATAGTAGGGCTCCTACAGATGGACAGACATAAAAACAGAGAAATAAATTAATTCGTTATTTCACAATGTACTGCTTTTCAGTGTGTACTGTGGTCTTTACTCACATATCTGAAGCGTGTGACATAAAGAAAGGTAGACAGAGACGTGATCTCTTAGTATGAAAGCAGTAATATCTTAAGATTTGAAGAACACAGAAATGTGCTACTGTAAATTGACAAGGAAAATTCATCCCAGCGTAATTTGCAGCAACATCAGAAGGTCATGGATCTGCTGACTCTGAGACCCTTTAGTAAACAGTATGAGACTTGCATGAGACTATTGGATCTGTCTCATTTTGGGAAAAGAGGCAGCATTATCTTAAAAAGGCCTCTTCTGTTGTAATAAATGTGTATTGTGACAGTGGAGCAGTGGGAGGAAAAAGTCGGTAGAGCAGTAAAAAGCAGTAAAACATCAACCTCCCTAACTGAGGGACAGAAGCACTGGTGTGAGGTTAGCAGGGACCAGAAATAACACGAAAAGGGTGGAAAAAGTGAAACAAAAAGGCAAAAGAAAAGTGTACCACGTGACCTCCAGGCTGGGCTTACCCTATTTAATGGGGTCCAGCCTGGGAAAGAGAAGAACCGCTAGCACAGCGGTGACCAGACTGGACCCCGCTAAAGAGGCAAAGCCCAGCCTGGAGGTCGCGGTGCACAGCGGTACACTTTTCTTTTGCCTTTTTGTTGTTGAGCAGGGCATGAAAAGCCAAAAAATATATAAAAATGTAGTGTATGAAAAAGGTGTGCCTGCCCTGGTAAAAATACGTAATGGGACAGGCAGGTGTAATCCCCTCCGGGACAGTTGGTGTAAAAACTCCCCCTTTCAGGGGTGGCCCTGCCTGTCCCTTCTGGGGGTGTTCAGTGTGCCTTTATAGGACCTGCACAGCTGTGGTTTATCATCTAGAAGCCGGGACAGCTGTGACCACAAAGGTGAGGCGTCGCCCTTCCTCCAGGGCTCTGCCTCCACACTGGGCACGCCCCCCTGTAATGCCACAGTATTCTTACAGCCTCTTTAGAACAGAGAAAAGTTTTAGATTGAAATGCAAATAAGAATCCCACAGATTTTCCAATGTCACAGCAACGTGTGTCTGCAGATCGGTAAGGTTTTTTTAGGGTACTAAGCTGCTCTCTTAAACTCCTTTAGAAAATTGCAGAGAAGGGTTTAAGGTGAGTTTGCAGTTCAGAAAGAGGGAAGACTGGTGAATCAGGCCTCAGCTCTTGCTGTGAAGGTAGAGTTCAAGGTGTCCAGTGCACACTCCCTCCCTCCCTCCCCTACAGTATCTGCCCAAAAACAGGAATAGCGCAGAGAGGGACCTGGAAACCATTAATCATAAGTGAAAAAAGAGGGAAGGGGCTATCACTAGGAGAGATGACAGAGACAGGCCTGTAAGAGAATGCTCTTTCTGTCTGTCTCTCCTTATCTCTCTTTCACTCTGTACTCTCTGCACAGAAATGGGTGCTGTATAAACTCAGGGGCCCAGTTTCTGGTTCTAGCTCTCTAACAGGGAAGGAGATTGGGTGGGGGGAGGATAGGGGGGTTTTAGCAAAGGGGTCCCACTGGGCTACAAGAGAAACTGCAGGCCTTTCAATGTGCCCTAGAAAACACAAGCTGTCCTGGATACTCCCCTCTTCCCCACACCCCACTGAGACAACCTCTGTTTCTTTAAAGAGAAAAGTGTGTCACAATAAATATCAAATATAACTCTGTCAGTGAAAAACAAAATGTCAGATCTAACTCGTTCAGTAAAAAACAAGATAATCAATTGCATCTTAAATGAGCTTGTGAGACTGTTATTGTGCAAGGAATATAAGATGTACAGCTATTTAAAATCTAGTCAGCACTCAAAAGAGAATTTACAAACAGTGGGAAAGAAAAACACTTTTTCTCTTTCATTCCAAGACCAGTAAGCGTGTTTTTTTAAACTGAGTTGCTGTCTACTGTATAGCTGCTATGGTGTGCTCTGTCTGTCTAACTCACAAGAAGAAGCAGTTTCAGTAAACCAGTAATCTGCAATCTTTCGTTCCACCCACTCACTACTATATTTACATAAGCCAGTCAAGGTAAGCAGGAAGGCTGAAGCACAAAAAAACAAGACCACAGCCTGATAAACAGGACATTCAGATTTAAAAGTGTGTGTTTCTCTGCATTCATCATGTCTGTGAGGCAGAGCTGCGGGCAGCCAGGGGAAGCCAGTACATTTTGTTCACTTCTTGCATTTTTAAAATGAGTTGTTCACTGAGGCAACAGTACAATAATCAAACTCAGTGGAGCACTCAGTACACACCTTATGCCCAGACAGCATCAGCAGCTCTCAAACACTGGTCTTTAAGGGCTGCTGGGTCTAGCCAAATAATTAGACTTAGTTAAGAAATCAAGAGTTCGAGTGGAACAAAAACTTTAAAATCAATACAACCCAGCACAAATGCTTTTTGAGGAAACAGAGAATGAGAAAGATGCTTGTCATCAGAATGGATTTCTATTTGAGGAGGCAGCTGGCAGATAGATGAGATGAACCTCCCCAGAGGTTTCCTCATGAGAGCTGGCTGGGGTTTTACCTCTACTACACACCATGGGAGTTAATTAGACCCTAAAGGATTAGCCCTGTTGGACCACATGACTTTACCTGCAGCCCTGTTTATCTCTGTATACATGTGTCTTTTTGCATTTGTGCATGTGCTTGTGTCTAACCTTGCAGGCCAGGTTGTCCACCAGTGCTATCATGGAGTTCTTGAAGAGTGTGGCAGCAGTCAGCGGGCGCTTAGTGACCTCTGTGATACAGAGCTGACCATCTGGCCACATCTCCTGCTGGACCGGGTTGGAGCTGTGGGGAGAGAAGAAGAGAGATGGGTAAAGAGCAAGTGAGAGGAGGTGAGAGAAAGAGATGGGGGCAAAAAGCAAGATGGAAAGGGAGAAGGAGAGATTGTATTTAACTTGGCAACAAGAACCTCCTCCGACAAACACATTGCTTATGAGGAAGGATTTGCAGTTTGGCTGTGTCCCTATTTTTGCCAAGTCAAATAAACTGGATTGATTTTAAATAAAAAAAAATTGATTTTGAAAGCGTACCAGCACACTCTGTCAGTACAGGACTATCCTTCAGTGCTGAAAGCAAACAGGGAGCAGCCTGTGTAGGTAGGGCCCCATTGTTAGTGTGTATGTGAAGACCATAACTGATACTTTATAGGACTACAATAACATTGCCTGTACCTGTATTTTTGTGCATTGTTCTAGAGTTTTCTGCATTGTACTCCAAAAACACCCAAGGAGTGTACAGAGGTACAGGAATCTCGCTGTTCTCAGTATGACCTACATTTCCCCAAGGACATCTAGAGACAAAGGCATTAGAGCCAGGTATGGCTTAAGAGATTTTAAGGACAGGGTATATGGATGTGTGTGATCTATACCTGTACCATCCTAAGATGAAATTGTGTTCTGTGCCTGTACTAGTGTGACAGACTGCTTGAGCAGTAAAGGTTCCATGTACACATGTGCTAATCCAAAAGCTTCTGAGATTGCTGCTCTGACACCTAGGACTTGATTATCCAGCAATCAGGTAGTAAAGGAAGGGCAGTGTAGGGTGGAGTGCAAAGCCACAATTATGCCATATCCAGGGGGACACAATGCTCGCACCTCTCGACTGACTGGCGTTGAGCCAGGTGCCACCACAATTCAATTTAGGTATACTGCTTACAAAGTGCACACAGTACTTAGCCCCATAGGTATGACATTAACAACAGTTTAGTCATAT